CCAATTTGCCTGTTTGCCTAGCGGCCGTTCTTCGCCTTCAGCGAACTCGAACCCGTGAAGTATTTTGCGGACGGACAGACAAACATACATACCTACAAACATACAAACCGACACACAAAGTTACTGGTTTATAGAATAGAAGGATAATTTCAGTTATTTCGGATTAATTGATGGTTGAAAGTTTTCTACTATTTCTTTTACATATCCGAGTTCTCTACAAAGCGAGTTCCGCTACTCTGGACTCAGCACACTGAGACCTTTGCGCTGCTCGATACTGGCTACCGCCCTCATTACGACCCCCCCTCTCCTGGCGGCCAAATACGACCCCCCTATGGGGATTCCTCAACCAATGATGTGCCCTGGAGCGCGCGCCATACAACACGGTATGGCGCGCGTTCACATCAGGGAAATCGTGCCGGGACCACGGCCAGGATGCTCAAGTGCGATTTTGCCGTTTACCTTACGTCCACTGGCGGATCGCCATCCCCTCCCAATTTGCCGGTTTTCATGCTCGATTCCGGTTGGGGGTCCCACAGCGAATGCTGTCTAGGTGGGAGAGCGCAGACGGACAGAAAGCGGTCAAGACACACACTAGCACCACATCTGCGTCCAAATTGGAGCCCTCTGGTCCATTGCATTAACATGGCTTTCAAAAGGTCTTGAATAGGGTTCAATTCTATTCAAAACCATCTTTAGCAGCAAGGTTAATGTTGTGTGGGCAGAGTCTGAAACAGGCCGCAGCTTTCATCAAGCTTGCATGAGGGCTGAAAACGATAAGGATATTCTCACCCTTATGAGCACAAAGTCTTTGCTGCAGCTTGAATATAGCGAAAACTCGCCCGTCGCCGATTTCGCTTTGGAAGGCAACAAGTTAGCTTCAGCTGCAGCATTAGGATCTACTGTACTCGAAATCCTTTTTGAACGCATCACCCATCTGCGTCGCTGCTGTGTTCAGTATTGAACTTTGCAAATACGACCCCCTTTTCTCGAGGTAGGCCAAATACTACCCTCTCCCCTGATCTTCCCCTACAAGTCCACACTTTCACTTGGAAAGCTGGGTAGGCTTCTCGCACATCTCCACCTCATGTGCCAAGGAGAAGTTGATGCGCAGAGGCACTGATCAACCCCTCCATTCAATGCGCCAGGTACTCAAATTCCTTTCTGAACGCATCACCCATCTGCGTCGCTGCTGTGTTCAGTATTGAACTTTGCAAATACGACCCCCTTTCTCCAGGTAGGCCAAATATGACTCTCTCCCCTGAGACGTATGCTTGACCATGGCGGGGACCGTTGGTTACGTGACATCTTGAACTTTTGTGCATGGTCCTGTTACGAAACCCTGTGACGCAGACGGATAGAGGGCAGCGGCTGCCAAAGCATCGAAACGTGCAAAAAACGTATGGCGAGCCAGGAAACGGGATTTTTCAAGGGGAGGGGACTCCGGGGTGGGTGAGCTACTTATAGTCGGTGAAAAGCTGGAGTGAGCGAAGTCACAACGGCCATAGAGTGCCATGCGGACGAGAGAGTGCAGAGAAAAAGAGAAGATCGACGCGTTCAAAGGGATTAAGTTCAAGTTGTCCGTAGACCGTGCGGCACGCTGCTCCTCAGCTCCCTCTTCTCCGAGATAGTGTCCCGCGTGTTTGGTTGGCTCCACTGAGGGCTCTTAAGAGGTAACTTCGTGATTTCAGTGGATGAACATGAACAGCGTTATAGAGTGGTAATCCAATAAGGCTAGGCACTCATCATGGTTAGTGCAGAAAAGTGCGAAGAAGCAATTTTAAACCAGTGGAATCGCCTGTGGCTTAGAGGGAATGAAGCTTGGCAAACTCTGTGGTATGCACTTCACCGTTTTATTCGAGACTGAGCAACTTGCCTCTATGCTGGGAATCCTCTATGGGGTGTTTCAGACACTGTCCCGGCGAGGAGGGAGCAGAAGAGCAACGTGTCGCGTGGTCCCCATAAAAACATTAGCGCCACCTTTTCATGCTCATGCCGAATAGGGGTCCCACAGCGAATGCAGAAAGCGGCCGAGACAGGCACTAGCGCCACATCTGCGTCGTATTGTGTCAGACGTGTGGTTTCGAAATGCTGTCAACGATCCCACTTCAAGGAGGATAGTTTTCACCCGAAAGATTCCAGTTTAGTTCCACGTTTCTATCTTATATACCTACTAGTGTTTTCCTCTCTCTTTTTCATGCGTCCAATCCTGTAGGATACGAATTCATCACTTTTCACCGACTATCCCACCCTCAAAGGAACCAAGCCATGAGTGGGGTCCGCAGTGGCTAATGTTCACCCAAGACCTCTTCGAAACCATTTGAGAACCCAGTCACAAGAATCTGAGAGGGTCGCAGGTTACGGTAAGAGGACGTCCGAGTGTCGGTCCTGTCACGAATCCTTGTTGTTTAACCTAACGCCTCAGCCTTCCCTTTTTTATTCGCGGCTCTTCTCTGACTGCAGTGTTTTTGAATGGATTATTTTATTCGTTAAGGTTGTACTATGGAACAAAACAACATTAGGGAAATCCCAGAAGACAGCAAGGACACGGATTTTACGCAGAGTGCTGAAGCCGACGATGAGGGTTCACTCGTCTCTGAGAGGACCTTTTCATGTGAGTTTTCAGCGTCCGCGATGTTCCTTTCCTTTGCAGATAGCTTTCTCATTGGTAGAAGATAAAATTCAATAAGCAATAAAGAATCCTAAATCAGATTCCAATCAACCTTGCGTAGATCAGTATATTACCTTTTCTGGTTCCTTTCACATTCAAGCCTATTATTGCAGCGGCACATTTGAAAATATTTAGTTCATTTCGAACAGAATGCAGTGAAGCGACAACTTATTCAATCAAACATTTACTGAAAAACTTTGAAAATCAAGTGATTACTCCGGTCAGAACAGTTGCGCATTCCGGCTACCCCGTGAATATTGAACATGATTGGGCTGCGTTTACACTTTGCAACAGGAGAATAAGCGAACAGGCGATTCGACGTATCTAGGTTGATATGCTTTGTGACGCACGGCAGCAGAAAATGTAGGTATCCATCTGGTGACTCACAAGGGAAGGTCTCCAAATCACTATGGGACTTCGACTGGCAAAATTGCAATCTGCATTACACGAGCAACTTATGAGCAGTTAAAGTTTGTAATGGTTGTTGTAGGGTGGAGGCTTGGTGGTGAGCTGTGAAGCATAAGCGAGGAATCGCATACGTCGAATCGAGTCGTGGTGGTTCAGTGGTAAGGTTCGACGTTCGACGACTCGATTCGACGTATGCGATTCCTCGCTTATGCTTCACAGCTCACCACCAAGCCTCCACCTACTGCACCATTACAAACTTTACCTGCTCATAAGTTGCTTGTGAAATGCAGGTTGCAGTTTTGCTATCTGTAAATAACCTTATAGACTCTATCGATCTACCCAGGTCTCCATTCAAGTTCCATGGTAAGTTGGCACTTCCCTGGTGAGTTTCCACAGAATGGCGTCCAGTCCATGTTTGGGGAACTTCGCCCGTATCGCACTGTTATAGAGCGCAATCATGTTCAGAGGGTACTCCGCCTAGTAAACGTTCTGATAGAAACGGTAATCGATTCGAGTCTGCATCTTTCGTCCATTCCTGTAGGCTAGGACAGAGGTGAGATCATTGCAGCGAGCTTGAGCTTCTGGGACGAACTGAGTGTGAACAAGTATGCAGACTCTACGGTAGAACGCATGTAAGTTTACTGCACATGTATCGCTTCACTGTTTTTGTCTGTTCACAAAGAAATCATTTCACAACTCTCATTGCAGTCCAGCTAATCGTTCGCCGTCTCCTTCCGTCACCGATCTCAAAGTTTCTCGCAATATAGCCACTCCAGATGAATGTAGTTCAAATTCAAGTTTTTGTGAGGTAATTCATGAACAGAGTTTATTGATTGTACCTGTCGACATGACTAAATCTACTTGGTAACCCAGTATGTTTACGACCCTTTCTTGCCACAAGTTACACTCGTTTTCCCCGAAAACGATAGAGCGCAGGACAGCGGCGTGGCTTGAAGCGCAGCGAAAGCAAGTTTTTACCAGTTGTAGCGGACGGGGCCGAACTGCCTGCGTTCCCTACCGCGCCGACTCAAATGCCCAATCGTTTGCAATCACCGCTGTGACTGCACCTCGCCCGACGTGTAAGAGGTCGTTCATACTTCGCGACCGTGCGATCCGGTCAGTCGATCTCGACCAGGGCTTCACCGCTAAACAGTGCACTGCTGCAACGCAACTATTTGAATTAGCACTGCGTGAATGCAACCCATTTTGAGTTCTGTTGCAGCGGAGCACTATTTGACGGAGGAGACGGAGGAGCACCCCGGAGCAGTATCATCCGATCGCGTGATTCAATCGCCCGCTCACCAGGTATGAACGCGCTATAAAAGCGTTTTAACGAAATAGCATGTAAAACAGCGTGGTAAAACC